ATATATATATATATACCTACTTGCAAGCTGGAGCCATTACAACGAAATTTATACTCTCTCCATAGCGGCGAGATAATTAAGCGTACATTATGTACTAAATAAACTACATTTATGTAGTAAGTACATGCGTGCATAAACGAACCTCGATGTCTCTCCTGTTTTTTATTTTTTTACTTAAGTGGGAAAGCGATGGTCGAAAACTTGAGCTATAAAAGCGTATAAAAGCATTTGAAAATGAGATAAGTAATAATAATAACAATATATCTCACTCGGTACAAACACCTTGAAAACACACTATATCGACCCATTTGGAATCGTTTGTATTTAAAATAGTATTTAACAGAAATACTACATAGAAAACCACAATATTGCTACTCGTAGGTATCAACGGAAAAAAAAAAAAAAAAAAATCATTCAAGTCGCACTACTACACGTGTGACGCGTATAAGTCTTGATGTGGGAAATATGTAGTAGATTTTTTTACCTATGATCGAAAGTATGGTATTATACTTATACATACACAAGACTAAAATGTAAAGCATCAGCATCGTAAAATAAAAAAATAATCGTTTCTCACGCGTCAATTTTATACGTACATGTATACACATATTAGTGAGTGTAAGTGCAAAGTAATAGCGTAAAAAAGAGGAGGCTATATCCCAGCCGTGCTCGTGACTTCTCGAAACCGCAAAAGAACCAGTTTCGCAACGGGGACCCGATTCTCGGGACTCTGCAGTTGTCCAACTGCAACCGATGCTTGCGACCAACACGCGCCATTTTACCCTGGCTTGTACCACGCGTTGTCAAGATACCTACTTCGCAAAACGTAACATGAATGTAAAACCACTGCATTCAAGTTCAATGGGTGTTACTTATGAGGCTATGAAAAATTTTTTCATTGGGATATAATCAAACGTAACTTTAAGTAAATTTTTCATAATTATTTGTGAGCCAATCGATTACGCATTTGTAACGAATAATAATTTTCTGTTGTCGATCAAGTATGCGCTCATTACAAAAAAATCTGTATACTTACCTATGGGTACACCTTCGAAAAAGTTTAAAATAGCGCGCCTTTCGTTTGAAGTTGGAAGTGTTGGAACCAGTTTACCCACGTTCCACACTGCTTACAACATGTCCCCGCCTCGCTTGACTATGAAGTGCCGAGTATTGACATTAGTGCGTGAACTAATCGAGTGTATTTCTTCTTTTTATTACAATTTTTTAATCAAGCGCCGTATATGAATCAGAATCCAGTGTTTCTTACGAGCATCGCAATGTCTACTGCCGAAGTTTCGGAACACGCTTCAAACTCAAACGGTTCGTACACAACAGGTTAATTTTGAGGTTAAGATTGTACTTTTAATTGTTTCAAATATATTTGTGATAAGTCAAATTATTTCACAGATGAGACTGATATTGAAATTAAAATGGAAGTGCCCGAAAGGTGTGAAGAAGAGTTTACTTTTCAAAGTGTCAAAGGCATTCAGCCTCAAGTTATTATTCATGATCCAACATTTGGTATTTGGACATCCGAAGCTGAATCTTGTTTGATAAAGTTGTACAAAAAGTACAAGCCCATGATTGGCCAGCATACAAGGTTTAAAAGTTTTCGAGACATGTTTGATACAATTTCGGCGGAAATGAAAAAATATGGATTCTTCTTCAGTCCACAAAAGTGTGAGAACAAATGGAGGGTCATGGAACGCAAGTACAAAACCTTGGCGTTGAGAGAAAAACTAAAAAAACCTGGCCGAATAAAACATTATGGACGCTGGCAGCACAAAAAAGTATTTGATGAAATATATAGCGAAGAAAACAAAAATATTTATTTGGAGGTACGTGTTTCTTCATCCTAAAGAGCTTGTTTCTTTCAACTTTTTCTTAAAATATCTGAAAAATAAAAATGCTTCACAGAAAGATGCAGCAACTGAACAATCTCTGAATGTATCTGCTCCAAAAGTAGATGCATTCTTCGACTCCATGCCAACGGAAAATGGACAAACTTCATTGACAGATATTGTTAAAACTCAGACTAATGCGATCCTTTCAGAAGTAAGGAAAATTTTCAACGATGCAGAAAACAATCGGGAAAGGCGACACTTGGAACAAATGATACTATTTAAAAACCTACTCAATGTGCAAGAGAGACTTTTAAAAATCGAAGAACAAAAATTGACACTGAGAAAAGCAAGTGTAGCAGTGATGTCGCAAAGTATGAAACACTTTACTTAGGTAATTTTTCACCAAAGACTAATCGTTGTAATATAATTAATAGTGACCGAGAGTGTTACTTCATATTTTTATACTTGTATTTGTAAAATGTGCGAAAAGTGATTTTATCATAAGAGTAACTGTAAGACATAAGTGCCAGTAGAGTGTGCAAACACTAGGTGGAGTTGAATTACTAAAACCTAGCTTATAGTTTTTTTTTTTTTATATTACAGTGTACTAACCTCTGAGAGGTATGTACACCTAGCTTATAGTTACATCAAATTGATTTAAAAAATTTTTGATTATTTTTAATTTTTAACTAACGTTATTGAATGAAATGACCTTGAGTGAAATTTATTGTGTCCTTTAAATTTTTGAACCAAATAAAAGTAACATAAATTGAGGTAATGACAAGTTTTGAAATGTATAAAGCTATGCTTTGGCTTTTTTTTTAAGTTATGGGTAAAGCACAAAGTTTAACAATGGGATGCATAATGTACACTGAAAAATCGAATTTATTTTAAATATCTATATTTTGTGTGATACTTGATTCTTCAATATCAAATAAAAAAAAGTTCTGTAAAACGATTTCTCGATGAACTGAAGCATAAATGTTTTTGTAATTTAACTAGCTACAATGACATAATGAAAAGTAATTTACGTTTTTTTACGATTCATTACTTTAAATTAAAAACAGTAAAACTAAAAATTATGGTTTGAAAAAAGTTTTGAATTTGTTATGACAATAAAAAAACTCTGACCCTCTCACTACTTAGCTTTAAAAGATAAAAATGTTTCTTCTTTCTAACTCCCAAACTCAATATCTTATGAGAGTATCTTTTTTGTAAATCGCACATAATTTTCGCGAGAGAATCAAATAAGTAAACACTCCAGATTGCGCAAAATAATCAGTCACACTATCGATGTGCCTCAACTGATCCACACAACCATACCTGCATTCGTTTTATAATATTTTCCTTTTAAAAGTCCATTTTAATGTAATTTTAGAACTTATTTTGAGATTGTGAAAACAAATATCACTTTTCTAATAGTTAAAAATCACTTACTATTTACGTACACGAGATAAGCGTTACATTATTTTTCTTATCTAATTAAATTATTTTTCTTCGAATAACAATTATCATTGTTTTCATATCTTAATTTTATTGTTTACTAGGCGCTCATTATCTAACTTAAAAAAAAAAAAAACAAAGCTGAAAAGTCTCGGTAGGTATTCGATTTTATTTCTTATTAATGACGTACGAACGAGTTTACGAAATTCCGGTCTAAAATTAAAATTAAAAACATAATGCATAATGTATAAAAGTATTGTGTATCCTAGATCAGCCAGATGTCAAATGTAGAGACCAAGTAATAACGTACAAATAATAATAACTTCCTGCTCAAACTGCGAATGCGCGTCCCTCGTAAAAATTTATTATTATTGCGAGAGTTAAACTCAAGGGTTCCTGTTTTTCAACGCAATAATTCAAATAACAAAGTACTTAATATTGATCAAAATTAAAACTCTCGCATCTATACGGAACAAAGTAATTTACATTAATGGCGAAGTAGATACGTGCAACGACTGGTAAGACACGATCGATATACCTCTAAACAACGATAATTAACTTTCTGATAAGTACTTACTTGCATTAAAAAGTAAACCTGCTCCCGCAAGCATGCATAATAACGTTCATCATGTGAAGTTAAAACGAAATTTCGAAGGGATGATAATTGCGCGAAAATTTTTTTAGAGGGAGAGAAAAACTCGTGCAACAGCAGCAGCAGAGATGGCGGCACCGGGTGGACTTTCCCGATGTAGCTGCGAAACCACTCAGAATGTCAGAGAGAGAGGATACGGCACAAGCGGTCGCGGCGGCCCCTTCTTTCTCTCTTCTTCGGGCTCTGCATGCATGCAGCTGAGCTGGATATTATACATAGCCATACCTACAATGTGTAAAGGAAAAAGAGCGCGGGTGAGTATACGTATATAGCACTTGGTAAATGCAGGGAAGGCCAGCCTATAGCTGTATAATAGCTGCAGAGAGAGCCGAAAAGAAGGGTAGGGAGTAATAGGGGAGGACACGCACACATGCACACAATGATAATCTCACATATATATTGTACACGCCAACGCGGGGGGAGAGTGACTGTGGGTATATATACTTTACCTATACGCGAGCGTGAGAGATATATACCCTATAGGTGGACGGACGGCCCAGCCGGAGCCAGGCCGACCGACAGTCGAGCCGCGAGCAGCCCCACGGTAAACAGCTCCAGCTCTCGCGTTTCATTATCATTTCTTGTGCGCGTCGTGAGTAAGTACACGTTGATGCATGGACCATTATTAGTATTACTGACAGCTGCAAGGTAGCAATAAAATGCTGTAGTAATACTAAGCACACGGTTACCCAAACAACAACAACAACTGTAACGTCTAACCGATGCGCGCCGCAGCTCTCGATGCATTTCGGAGCATCACCTGCAATTGCTGGCAGAGGTTGAATGAGCCGCGAAATGTGGGCGAATTTGCAGGGTGCATGCAGCATCAATCGTCACTGGTCTCCAGGCGATCCTCAGCGCTTACGTTGCTGTCATCGCCAATACCGTGAACATCGGCAACCTCAGTAGTGACAGTAGTGCAACGACATACAAAGACAATCATCATCGAGGAGAGCGCTGCACCATCACCAGCTCGCCCGTTATATGTATCGGGCAGCGATGCATTAGCGCGATAACAACAACTGATGTAGGTGACTGTATAACGTTGTACGGTTTTCGGTCGCCTCGTTGGCGTGCAAGTTTGAGTAGGTACTTGAGTACTTACTTACCCAAGTGTTTGTGCTAAGGGGTATTGAAATTATATATATACATACTTACCTACATTACAAGAGGAAGCGAAGCGCCGAGCGCGTGACGGCGTGATATCCTGCAGCCTTGTATATAGGCAAAGGTAGTGCGCGGTCACAGTGCGCGCGTTTCGTTCGCCGGTGTGCAACAACTCTGTAGTTTACGGGCATTTGCAGGGACGAGGGAGCCCGATCCACAGGTACATAATAAGTACATATACATTGGTAACTGAATTGACCGTAAATACAAGTATTTTGTTATAAAGTACGGCATTGAAAACTTCATGCGCTCTTTCTCTGTCTGGTTGACTGCACCCTGTACGATATATTATATTATAAGCACCTTACCCTGCCCCTACTTATACTTATTTTATTTAAGCATAGGTATACATTAATATATATTACACGATATGCTCAAATTTCACGTGCCTACAGTAACCCATATGTCCCGCGTACACCTATAAAGCTCTCGTATTATGCACAAAGGGGATAACGATTACGCGTATATATTATATAGGTAACACCCAAGTAAACGTATACCTAACTATACTTACCTACGGTGTTACGGTGTACACCTGCAAACTGCGTGCGACCGAAGTAACGAAACGACAGAGTGTCCGTTATCGCGATCGAACGCGACACCCGAGAGAAAGAAAGAAAGAAGGAAGGAGCCCCCCCACGACAAAGTGTAGCAGTGCAGATGTCGTTATTATACTTTGCCAATTTTAGGCCTCAAAGATCGGCACTGCACTAAACAAAAGAAATCCCGTGCCCGTAAATATTCGTATCGCCACGTATATACATGTATAGTTTGTTCGCATAGTGCAAAGAAGCAAAATTAGCTTCATTATAGGGGGGGATGGGGTCGAAAAGGTGTTGGTGGTCCAAAGTCGGAGCGCCGAACGGGTGCCCCCTGACAAAGAAAATCGGCGATCGGTCTCACGTGCGCGCGCCAAATATATGTATAGGTAGGTATATGTGCCCTGCAGCAGGCCGAGAAGGAGTCTCGATCTCTGTTGTTGCTCTTTGCCTCGCTAACAGTACTTGCTTGCTTTCCTCTCTCTCTCTCTCTCTCTGCAACGGAACATATATATAATATACGGTCGGCAGTCCTCGTTCTCTCTGCCGCCTCCTCCTTCTTTCTCTTATGCTATATACTTATATATTATATGTTGTTGCTCCTGATGCAGTCGCGGTGCTCCGATCATCGAGGAAAGAACTCCATACTAAGTACACCTATATATACTTACTATCTACCTCCTAGGAGGCCTTTTATCTCGCTTCCTATATACATAATGCAAGTATAGTATAAGTATAAGTGCAACGACTCACTCTCTTGTTGCGCTGCTATGGGAGCGCTCTTCTCCTTGGAGTCTTTCGGCGCGGCGGTGTCCTTATATTTAACATTACGATATACTCGCTTCCTTCCCGCTGTTTAAACAGCGACTATATTATTTATGGACGCTACCTCTTATACACCCACTTGTATAGCTATATAGGTATTCGTAATTATATCGGCTAAAATGGCCCAGTGGTTGGTGCCAACTGTATAGACATTTGCACGGAGGATATTACGAGTAGGCATATAATATAGCACATGCACAGGATAATATACATACACGTTATATACGTACAGGAGTGTATATATACATACGTATAAGCTAGGCTCCTTATTATTTTGCTGCATGGAGGAGGAGGGGGCCTCCATCGCAGAGTCGTCTGGCCGGTCTCTCTTTCGCTTTCGCGTTTGCTTGTGTTCCCTTATATTTATATATACATATAGGTACACGCTCACGAGTCCAACACTATACTGCTCTCGTGAAACCGCAGAGAACCATGTAATATATATATGTATATATATTATACTGTACGTGCATGTACCTATATACATACAAAACTCCTCTATACGCTCTCTCTCTCTCGCTATTTTTTCCTCCTCCTCTGATAGCTGATGTTGCAGTTGCACTCTCGCATATGCATTATATACATAGGAAGGTAAGTAGACGAAGGTATACGCGGTCACACGGAGTAGGTATAGGTCCTCGGACCAGCTATTCGTCTCTCTCTCTCTCTCTCCTATATAGCATCTTCCCTCTTATCCTTCCGTGATACATGTATAGGATGTGTAGGCATAGGTATCTCTACTTATTTATAAGTATACTCGATGCAGGTAGATAATACTTGCAACCCGAATCGAACGATAACGTATAGAGAAAAGGGCATGGGAAATCGCTTGGTTTTGACAACAATCCCCGCGATAACGATATATACCTATATGCTCCAGTAACCGCATCAGGAAA